TTCACAAGGTTGGCACACACTGTTGCTGGTATGTTGGCCCATTCCTCCATGCAGATCTCCTCTAGAGCAGTGATGTTTTGGGGCTGTCGCTGGGCAACACGGACTTTCAAACTCCCTCCAAAGGTTTTCTATGAGGTTGAGATCTGGAGACTGGCTAGGCCACTCCAGGACCTTGAAATGCTTCTTACAAAGCCACTCTTTCATTGCCCGGGCGGTATGTTTGGGATCATTGTCATGTTGGAAGACCCAGCCACGTTTCATCTTCTATGCCCTTGCTGATGGAAGGAGGTTTGCACTCAAAATCTCACGATACATGGCCCCATTCATTCTGTCCTGTACATGGATCAGTCGTCCTGGTCCCTTTGCAGAGAAACAGCCCCAAAGCATGATATTGCCACCCCCATGCTTCACAGTAGGTATGGGTTCTTTGGATGCAACTCAGCATTCTCTCTCCTCCAAACACGACGAGTTGTGTTTCTACCAAACAGTTCTATTTTGGTTTCATCTGACCATATGACATTCTCCTAATCCTCTTCTGGATCATCCAAATGCTCTCTAGCAAACTTCAGAGGGGCCCGGACATGTAGTGGCTTAAGCAGGGGGACACGTCTGGCACTGCAGGATCTGAGTCCCTGGCGGCGTCGTGTGTTACTGATGGTAGCCTTTGTTACGTTGGTCCCAGCTCTCTGCAGGTCATTCACTAGGTCCCCCCGTGTGATCCTGGGATTTTTGCTCACCGTTCTTGTGATCATTTTGACCCCACGGGGTGAGATCTTGCGTGGAGCCCCAGATCGAGGGAGATTATCAGTGGTCTTGTATGTCTTCCATTTTCTAATTATTGCTCCCACAGTTGATTTGTTCACACCAAGCTGCTTGCCTATTGCAGATTCAGTCTTCCCAGCCTGGTGCAGGTCTACAATTGTGTTTCTGGTGTCCTTCGACAGCTCTTTGGTCTTCACCATAGTGGAGTTTGGAGTGTGACTGTTTGAGGTTGTGGACAGGTGTCTTTTATACTGATAACAAGTTCAAACAGGTGCCATTGATACAGGTAATGAGTGCAGGACAGAGGAGCCTCTTAAAGAAGAAGGTACAGGTCTGTGAGAGCCAGAAATCTTGCTTGTTTGTAGGTGACCAAATACTTATTTTCCACCAATTTGCAAATAAATTCTTTCCAAATCAGAAAATGTGATTGTCTGGATTTTGTTTTCTCATTTTGTCTCTCATAGTTGAGGTCTACCTATGATGCCAATTACAGGCCTCTCTCATCTTTTTAAGTGGGAGAACTTGCACAATTGGTGGCTGACTAAATACTTTTTTGCCCCACTGTACCTCTTGAACACCAAAGTGCAAAGATCTTTATTTTTGTATGATCATATAGAAAAGCAATGTTTTGGAATAACACAAGGACCCTTCCTCAAGCATATGCACAGTATAGGTCATGATCAGGTAATGCAGAGGAAGTCCAAGCTGCTTCCCTTGCCAGCACAGCAAGGTGGGTGTCTCTGATGCGTATGCCTTGTCATGGGTATGACAATATAATATCCTTAATGATAATGTTGGATATGTTATATTTTTCATTAAAGTGGAACTATGGCTTCTCAAAAAATGTACTGCAGCACTTACAGCTTTCTGTTAGTTCACTTGCAAAGTCCCTCAAACACCTGTTGGTCATACCAGTGAAGTCCACATCTTCTGTGATGATGTCCTGTTTTTAAAGCAGCATTACCACTCCAGGGGGCATAACAACCAGCAATTTCACTGCTCATTCACAAGTCTGTAGCTTGTCAATCAACGCTTGATCACACCTAGGTCAGCCCAACGCCTCTGCTGCTGAAGCGCCTCTATTGTGAGCTGCAGTGTCTGGGAGGAGCACTATGTGAGATGCAAACAAAGGAAGATTTGGCTCAGCCAGGGAAGGTAAAGGAAGTTTTTAATGAGTTTACTTTATGAGTCTTGTGTGTCACATAGAAATTGGAATTAAACTGCCATACAGTAACTTTTTAGATGCGCTCTAAGGCTTTGTAAAAACAGACATCCCTTGCTCAGTCTTTCCATTATCAAAGTTCTGTAAAAGAAGCAAGTAAGGGACATTGAACAGAGTAAGATTCTATAAAGAACTACACAGTAGTTTAGTTAAAGTGGAACTAAACCCACCAATTTAAGTTAAACTATATGTACAAAAAAAATTAAAAACAGACAGGCTTTTTATTGCAGCAGAGATATGCAATGTCTGTTCGGCAATAAAGTACACTTACCTGCCTATCCACAATCCTCATCGGAATGTACACTCAGTTTACATTCTGGCATACTGCCAGCATGCTGGAATGACTGACCTTCCTGGGCAATCAAACTAGCTGAAAACCAGCACCTGGAATAACCCAGGGAGAAGATGTTGGCACCAATGAGGGACCTCATGGGCATTGTAAACTAAGGTAAGTATTCATGCCTTTAGTTTCACTTTAACTGTCTCCCAAAACAGTTACATTCAAGGCATGAAATGAATGATAACTCTCACACTCACTTGTGCTATCAACCGAACTGTCAAACCATCAAATGGCTGGTGTCATGACTGATCACATGTGCAGCACCATGGCAACTGCAGAGGCTAAGATGGCAGCTACCTTGGCTGTAAAGGATAGGAGGGTTTAATTCCACTTTAACCCACAGTTATAGTCAGACATCAGATAAACAGACCTTATTTCTCTACCCTAAAGCAGAACTATATGCACCTTGGCTCCAGCAATGTGGCGTCCTAGAGTTCCCTGCCGTCCACTGACATCTTTGAGTGGCCCAGCTTCCAGTTATCTTTTTCAGCCACTTGCATTGGCCGGGCCGATATTATGTGCGCTGCTCACTGTACAGGGGCGGACAGGTAGGTAGGTTACTAATGCAGAAGAGACAAAGCATGTCTTTTCTGCCTCTTTGACCTTCTTTAGTTTTAACATAAAGGTCCACTGTATGGCCCCTTTCACTTGTGTCAGATACTGTTCTGATCAGCAGGAGATCGGCTAATAGATCCCCTGCTCATCAGAGCAGAGTGGGTTGTCTGCTCAAGCAGGTTTCTGCAGGGTGCACATGAACAGAGCCCACTCTGCTCTATAGGCAGCCAGGAATAAAAAAATCCACTGTCCGTTTACACCCGACTACTTTCTGATCCGTCTAAACGGAAGAGGACGGATCATCTTCCGTGTGTTTTAGCTGGTCCAATTGGACCAGGAGGTAGGAGGGTGTAAATGGGCACAAGTCTGTTTACACCCACCTGTCCATAGGGAGAAATGGATGTGTGAAAGAGGCCTTACTCCATTAAGCTTCCTAGCAGTAATCCCCGAGTGTGGCTCTGGGTTCATTTACAGTACCAAAAGTGGTAACCCCGAGCCACACTCGGGGGTTACACTGTAGTGCTTATCCTGCGAATCTCGATCCTTACCTTTTCCTGCGATCCCATGATGTCCTCCCGCTGTGTCCTCTGGCCCGATGCCGGCATCCGTCTTCCGGGTTCCCTTCCCTGTGAGCGTCGGGATGCAGGGGGGAGAATCGGCAGGAGATTCAAAAAAGTAAAAACATGACATACAATACATTGTAATCTGTTAGGATTACATTACTGTATCAAACCATTTCACCTCAGTTTTGTCCCTAGTGCTTTGTCCAGTGCCCTGCCTGCACTTTTACTCTTCTTTCTGCCTGGAAAGTTGAGAACGTCCATGGCATCCAAAATTGTCCCTTTAAGTCAAAAGCAGTTTTAGACCAGCTAAAAAACAGCAATAGTGAATTAGAATCACTTGCAGAATTGAGTGATAATGATTCGTGGGGAAATTCGTCATCAGACACTGAAAGTGACAACAGCAACGATTCTGTGATTGAGCTCAATGATGTGCGAACTTGGTGCTCTATTTCAAATTTTCATTGTTTTTGGTTTGATTACATTATTGAATAAAATGTATTATTATTATATTATTGTTTTTTGTAATTATTTATTATACTATAATTTATGATTTCGTGTTTCAAACTTTATCATACCCAGGATGTTTACTAGACTCTTGTTTGGACAGATTTAAGTGAGTTACTCCTAAGAATTACAGGCCTAATATAAAAGAACAAATTTCCATGGAAAACAATGTACCGATTTGACATTCAAAAATATTGACATAATTAGACTGCCAGGGAGGTTAATGTCCTATATACTATACAGAACAGCTACAGCTGACCTGCCTTAAGTCACAGACCTGTTTGGACTTGTTGCTGTGTATAGATTGAGCTGCTGAAATCCTGCGTTCCAGCAGGTAATTCCAACTATTGATTGCTGTGGATATTCAGTTCTGGGGCTTATAATTGCAAGCACGTTGCAAGCTATTGGTGAACATGCTTTCGCACAAAAACTAGGTGAATTTGGTTCCAATAATGACTAAATCCAGCTATTAGAGTTCAAATAGTCTTCCACAAAACCTGAAACAAGAATTCCTTACCTGCTTTCTGTTCCAATGCAGATATCCAGGCAGAAAGTGCATTCAACGTACACTTGGAGATGCAATTCATATATGAACCAGATAACATAACAAAGAACTAATAGGTTTTGAGATTTATTTTACCACATACAGCACTCATAGGCAGAATTATCTTTTCAGAAAACTGAACAATATGTTGTATTGAGTTTCTGGAATATGAATGTACCAAAAAGCATGTATCTTTTGTATTTTAAAAATATTATAAATCTAAAAAAACAAGTTCATACTACACAAAACTATCTTTAAATAAACAATTTAAAATTATTTATAAACCTGTAAACCATTTATTGTCTATAGAATTCTAAAAGCTTGCAAGTACAAAAATATATTATTGAAAAAAAAAAAGAAAATGTATAAAAAAAAAAAGCTTTCCCTGTATAGGCTGCCACATTACTAAATTGGTAAGATAAATCCTATGAAGTCCTGTAGAAAGAATGTATAAAACACATGATGATCAGTTTGTAACTTTGAAGTACAAAAATGTAAATACGCAGTGGCTTATTTGTTTTTGTTGTCTTCCACCTTATCTGTTTCTGGGGCACTGTCAGGCCCTTCAGACATGCCGTCATTGTTGTAATTCTTCATTTGTTTCTCAACTTTAGTGATCCTTTGCTTCAGTTTTAATTGTGTGGAGTTGTAATCAGCTAATAATCTGGCAAATCGAGTCTGCAAGCTATCAAATGCTGTTTCCATCTTATCCACCTTTTCTTCTAGGTCTTTTGGGTCTGCTCCTGCCTTTGCTACTTCTTCGTCTATAAGGCCATCTTTCATAAGGATTTGTCGTCCTTTTTCTTCTAAAACTGTTTTAGCATCTGGGTACTCAGTGAGGGCCTCCATTAAATCATCCTTAGATAAACAGAATAAATCAGAATAACCAATGCTTCGAATGTTTGCTGTCCTTCTGTTCCCTGATTTGCTCCCTTTGATGTTGAGGATACTAATTTCCCCAAAATAGCTACCATCGCTGAGTACCACAAACTGAGTTATACCATCATCTGCTACTACTGCCAGTTTACCTTCTTTAATGATGTACATTTCACGTCCAATGTCCCCTTTTCTACAAATATAGTCTCCAGGACTAAACACTTGAGGCCTCAGCTTTAGCACTAATTCCACCAGCAGTCCTGCTTCACAGTCTTGAAAAATTCTCACCTTCTTCAAAGTGTCTAAATGAACATTGATTGCAATTTCAGCTTTCAGCTTATCTGGAAGGCTTTTTAAGACTTCTTTTTCATCCATCGTTTTCTTGTTTGTCCAGAGATAATCAAACCACTTGATCACCCTTGCTTCTAGATCCTTAGATACATTACGGAACTGCATATATTGCTTTATAGAGTCAATCTTGGACTGAAACTCTGCCCTGGATGCATTCATGTTTGAAATCATGGAACCTACATTACCAACAATGGTTGCAAAAATTAGCACGCCAATAAGAAAATCAAACACTACAAAGAGGAACTCTATATCCTTGACTGGTGGTGGGGTCTCTCCAATAGTGGTAAGGGTCAGGGTTGACCAGTAAAGACTATAAATGTATTTTCTTGCCATACGTCCATATTCTGGATGGGAATTATTGGGATAGACCCAAGTGTCTGTTCCAAACCCAATTGCTTTAGAAATTGCAAAGTAGATGCAGGCATTCCAGTGTATAATGATAAGAATGTAGAGAACAAGGTTCCCAATACGGAAAATATTTGGATAATTGGTCCGGGTTTCGGTACGATCAAAGAACTCAAACATCCTAGCAAACCTCAGAAGACGATTAAACCGTAGTTCGGGAAACTTTGGCCCCAGCTTTAAGTAGGCCAGATCAGTTGGCACCAGAGACAACATATCAAGCTTAAACTGCAAGGTCTTTTTGTAGTAGTCCCTTAACTTCTTGGCATCTTTAACCAGTAATCCCTGCTCAAGGAAACCTAAGAACATGAGATTAAAAGTAGAAATAGAGCATTAATTCTGAGACAGCCCATTACAAGCTAACTATATTCTCATTAACTAGCAATTGTGCGTTGGGACTAAAGATATTAAAGTGCTTGTAGGCTCAAGGCACAAGGTTTTTTTTACCTTCATGCATTCTATGCATGAAGGTAAAAACCTCTCTGTGTGCAGCAGTCCACCCCCCAGCCCCCCCCAAAACTTACCTGAGCCTCATCGTGATCCAGCAATGTGCACAAGATTCTCGGCTCTCCGGGGACTCTCCCTCCTCATTGGTTGAAACAGCTGCAGGAGGCATTGGCAATCACAGCCAGTGAACCAATGAGGAGAGCAAGGGGGTGGGCTGAGCCACATTGAGCAAGCCTACTCGGGTGCCCCCATAGCAAGCTGCTTGCTATGGGGGCACTTGGCAGGATGGAGGGGCCAGGAGTGCCAGTGAAGGACCCAAGAAGAAGGTGATCAGGGCTGCTCTGTGCAAAACCTTTGCACAGAGCAGGTAAGTGTGACATGTTTATTTTTATTAATATAAAATTGCCTTTATTATCACCTTAATTCCTTTTTTGCAACCCGTTAATGAGAAAAATTACATTAATAGACTCCAACTATCCCAGCAAAAACTCTCAGATTTTTTTAGAACAGTCAAAGGTTTCAGTGGCTCAGTGAAGGTCGTTGCCTTACATTGTCAGTTGACTGGACCTAACAGAATGGATTAGAAGATTATATTGTGGAATGGAGGGAAGTCAAAATTATCCCAGGAAATCACCTAGGAATGTTGTCAAATATACCTGTGTACTGTAGGATAAGCTATAGGAATATTATGCTGAGAACAGTATAAAAAGACATTGTTCAAGAAAACAAAATGAATAAATTACAGTATACTAGCCCCTAAATGTGCTGGCTTCATTCCTCTTCTTAATCAAAGTTTGTAACAGCACAGGGTGAAATCACAGGAAGTTATTAACTGACAGGATTTCTTGTAGCAGGTAATTGTTTTGCAAATTTTAAACAGATATAACAAAATATTTTCAGTGATACATTTAAAGTGATTGCAAAGGGTTTTTTTTAAATAACAAATATGTCATACTTACCTGCTGTGTGCAGTGGTTTTGTACAGAGCAGCCCTGAACCTCCTCTTTTGGGGTCCCCCGCCAGTGCTGTCCACTTCTCTTCTCCATCTGCCCTCATAGCAAACCACTTGCTATGACAGCAGATGTATGGGCTCGATCTTTATCCGGGCTGTGTGCAACTATAGAAACACACAGCACGGCTCAGCCCCACTCCTGCTCTCTCCTCATAGGCTTTGACTGACAGCAGAAGGAGCCAATGGCCCCTGCTGCTGTTGTGACTCCTGTGATAAGAGAGGAAGGGATGGAGAGCTGCTGCAAACAGATCAGTGCTGGATCAAGATCTGGCTCAGGTATTTAAAGGGGTGCCAAGAAGGGGGGGGGGGGGTGAGGGAGGAACTTTTGCAAAGACTGAATTTACCGTATTTTTCGCCGTATAAGTCGCACTTTTTCTTCCCCAAAACTGGGGGGAAATGTCAGTGCGTCTTATAAGGCGAATATGGAGCTGCCGGTCCGGTATTTCCGCCGCGGCCGTGTCAGAATACCGGGCCGGCCGCTCAGCTCTGCAGCGGGACCTTACCTGTTCCTCTATCCAGCGGCGCGCTGTCTTCCGGCTTCTGTAGTGTGGGCACTGGGCATGACAGCCGGGTGCCAAGTGCACATGCGCAAGAAGCGGTGCTTTTTGTGAATGGTAAGGCGGTACCTGGGACACATGACAGATCCCAGAAGCCGCCGGACCAATCAAAAAGCGCAAGTGCTTCTCGCTCATGCGCACTGGGCACCCGGCTGTCATGCCGAGCGCCATTACAGAAGCCGGGAAGACAGCGCGCGGCTGGATCGAGGAACAGGTAAGATCAAACAAAAACTCTGCGGAAGTAAGAGCGGGTACCTGTCAAATTCAGGTACCCGCTCCCCACCTCCCCAAAGGTCAGCAGTCATCTGTACTGTCCGCAGTCTCTGGTCATCCCTGTGCTGTCCGCAGTCTCTGGTCATCCCTGTGCTGTCCGCAGTCTCTGGTCATCCCTGTGCTGTCCGCAGTCTCTGGTCATCTCCTGTACTGTGTCTGCAGTCCATTAGTTCAGAATTTTTTTTTCCTGTTTTCTGCCTCTAAAACCTAGGTGCGTCTTATGGTCAGGTGCGTCTTATATGGCGAAAAATACGGTAAGGTAAAAAAAAAAACTTTTTGCCTTTATAACAACTTTAACAAACCAAAAGGGAGCAAATAAGAAAAAGTTATTGTTAGGGTTTCCATAAACTTTAATATACAGCAGCTTGCAACAAAATAAAAATACATCACAGTGCAATGGAACCCACTTATGATCAAATTGTTTCCTATAGCAATCAATCCAAAGCTTGGTATGGCAGAAAATGTGATTCCTTTTCTTACTTACCTTTCTCCAGTTTTAATACACAGCTTCCTGTATCCAGGTTATTTTTACTTATATGCACAAGTATATTTCTAAAACCATATGTTGATGTAAAATGTAAAGGTACTCACTGTGTATCACTGGTCAGTCAGTCATCTAACCTTCATCATGAGTACTACTCACCTGTTCTGAATCTCACTAGTGTGTCAGTAACGTACACAAAATCTGCAATATAATCCAGAACCACCCACAAGATCACATTGTTGTTCTGTAGTTCATCAAAGCAAGCCCTGCAACACATTAAAAGATGTTACAATCCAAAGCTAAGTCGGATCTGTGTACATATGTATACCATATACCAAAACTATCTTCACCTGCACACTAGAAAGCACCAGTTATAAAGTACAGGTATTGAGATGATGGATAGCCATCGGTAGTAGAGGTTGCTTGCTGGGTCAATCACAAATATTTCTTTCTTTTTCCTATAAATAAAACATAATAATTTTAATATTTGTGTATGACTGATAAACATTGCTTATATTCTCTGCTGTCATCTTTTAATAGCTAAATCCAGATATTCACACAGAGGGTTAATTAAAAAAAAAAAAGTATAGGAAGCCTAAGTTTTGCAAAAAAGGGAGATGTACTCAGTACAAGCAAGCAAATTTCCAATAGCTCAAAGTAGCGGCTTTTCTGATCAAACCCATAGCATTCCAGCATTATGTTACTTCTACAGAAGAAAACCTTTTTTTGGCTGTTGGTAAGACCAATAAAGATCTCATCAATAGCCATGTCCCAGTATAAATTGTATGCATTTTTACAACTGTAAGTGCAGACCAAGATAATCACGAGAAAGGTAGACAGCTAAACAACAATTTGTGTTATATACTTTGTTAATCCTTTTCAAGGATATGCTACAAGTAGGTGATGTGTGAAAGTACAGTTGAACACAATCTCATGATTACTAATTGCTGTGTGTATAAAGGAATTCATGTATCTTTGTAGTTACTTAAACATAATCATTTGCCATAAAATAAAACTAAACATGGAGTATAGAACACAGAACACTAAAGATAAAGTATACCAAATGTACATACAAATCAGACAATAAAATGGAATTAACATCCATTATAATAACTTAGCTTTTTGTATATAAACTTTTCCAAAGCTTTTCAGATTCAAAGAACACGTCACTTAAAGTTATGTGGCTGTTGATCCCCTCTTGTCTAACCTATATACAGAATATCCAGATAGGCGATTTCAATACACTTATAACACACAAACAATGTTGGTTCATTTTAGATATGATTATTATTTTTTTTAATTTCTGTAAAGACACAGGGCAGGACGTGAAGATATTTATGGTCTTTTGTTCTTTCCTATTTTTTAAAGCAATGGTAAAAATAAGTGTCCAACATTTAAACTAGGGCCATGCACATGACAGATGTGCACCTAAGCAAACATTATTAAACACAGGGCCACAAGCTAATGATGTCTGTTCAGAACCAGGGTATGGAGGGAACAAGCGACACAAAGTAAGTCCATACTGCTGTGGAAGTTCTCACTCCATTGCTTACACAGGGCTTTCCCTGGGAAAAGCGCATTCTCTTTTTAACTACAAGCATTTATTTTTATTTATTAGGTTTGGATAAAGTTAGAACCTCAGTGAAGTCTTGTTCACCAGTGAAGATAAATCTAACATTTTGAGTTGCCAATACAAAAAGACATATAGGGGAAAACTTCCAATGGGGACACTAGATTTCTCTCACTTTTGAAAAATATCCTATAACTCCCTATCATCATCAACAGCTCCCTAATGAGACACAGATGTGAAAAACTGCCAGAAGTTGTAATCCTTTCCTACTCAATCCCAAATGAGAGAAATGTTTGTCTTTAGGTATAATTTGAGAACAGTTTCCCGGTACCAGTATGCATAAGAATATTACAAGAACATCACCACGTAGCATCCTTTAGTAAATCAAGCCTAGTTTGTTAAACTGTTCATATCAGCCATACGCATATATGCAAATGGGCTTTCACACTGAATGACTGCATATATGTGTCCTGATGTACACATTTTCGGTGCTGAGAGCGCATGCCCTGTGTACACCCAGCACAGTTACTGGTGATGTACTGGAAAGCTCCCAATACTTACTTGCAATTGGGAGCTTTCTGGTCATGTGATGGCTATGACTGCCAATCACAGTGGTCACATAAGTGGAATGCCCACCTCTTGGCATTTTGAACCTCTTAAAGGGCTCGGAGGCTGTGGTGGGAAGGGTTTCATGTTCAAGTATATGCAATCTCTGAAAGAGAAATTATCAATCACATCAGTTCTAAACTAGGAATGACTGCAATACTTACTCTTCTTCTTTTTTATCGTCCTTTTTTGCATCTTTTTTGTCCTCTTGTTTTTGATCTTTTTTCTCGTTGGCATTATTCTGTTCTTTCTTTGTGCTGTTTAATGCATTCAATTTTTACATGCAAAATGGAAAGAGGTTTTTGAAAAGGAATGAAACATAAGCTAGCTACCTATTTTCACCTACGTGTAACCATTTTCCTTAAGATCCTATGTACATTATGATGTTTCATAAACATTTTATCCATTGATTTTCTAATAAATAAAAATCCTCTTCCTATCCTTGTGGCCACCCTGCACCTAACTGCAGTCACATAATAATATGTGAGTTCCATCCAGTGTGGTATTACTTTGAGCTGCTTTGATAGCCTGGGCTCAGAGTAAGTGGATTGAATGACATCAGCCATCATTTTGTCTGGTAGACTGGTGGCATCTAATGGCATCTAATGGCATGAAGGAATTACTATGGAGTATATCTCTGAACTGCAGTTGAGCATTGTAGTGAAAGCTGCTTTTTTATTTTTACTATTGCTGGGCTATTAATTCAGATTTAATTTGTAGCTTATCAAAAGAACTTGAGAAGTCACTGTCAGATACAACAGTACTGAGTTATACTATTCCATTTTTAAAACAGCATCAATGCAACAGAGGGTTCAATAATTTCTTGAATTACAATCATAGTGAAAAATTAAGTACACCCCATGGAAATTGATGACCTTTTCAACATATTTGTACAGGGATCAGATCTCGATGCAAATAGTGCCTGCAAAGAACCAAAAGAGAACCGAGAGTTCATACCTATTGTAATTTTCCTTTCCTGATGAGGTACATGGCAGCCTACACATTGGTAGTCTCCTCCCCCTTTACTCCCATAATATTTTTTTACCTGTAATCCTGTACCCCTCAGCAGCCATAACTAGCCTACTCTGATGGTATGGAATACTATGCTGCCATGGAGCTGGTCAGGAAAGAAAAAGTACAGTAATTATAAAATCAATTTTTGGGTTTTCCTAACTACTTTATATGACCATGAATGTTATGGGAAATAACTAGACCACACAGGGTGGAAATGCTGAAGATTTTAATCAATAAAGGTAGCAGGAAAAAGTATTCTCATACTGAAGTCAACAGTCGTAAGATAGACAAGTTCAACACAATATTGGTTTATAAAGGTATTGAGTGAGGACCAAGAAGCCAACTTACAAATCTTTCCTGGAAACACACAATCTGTCGCTGCCCAGGAAACTGCCATACCACGTGTGAAATAACCCCATCTGGAACTGCCATACCTTTAGGCCATGGAAATTGTTTTGACCAATCATGAAACAGTAACCTGACTGGAAGACGTTTCCCCTTTATTTGTACCATCAGGCAATGAAAACAGATAGTCAGATGACCTGAAGGAATATGTAGCCTCTATGTATGTTTGCAGGGATTTGCTAACATCTAAACTGCTTACTTGGTCTGAATTTGAAGATAAATATGTGGGAAGGACTATGTCCTGCTTTAAATGAAAGTCTGAAGTCACCCTGTGTATAAATCCTTACACTGGAATTAAAACCACCCTGTCAGTAGAAAAGCTGATGAAGGGTTCCTGGGTCCATAGTACAGCTATCTCTGATACACTTTGTGTAGAAGTGATTGTGACTAAAAGGATGGTCTTCAATGCAAGATGCCACAAGGAAGCCCCACCTTTGGTGGAAAACCTTTTTGAGGAGATGAAGTCTAAGACTTGTCAAAGATACCATTTCAGGGAGATAAGTTTTCTAGGCAGTTTTAATCTCATTACCACCTTGAAAAATTGGATGATTAAGTTGTTGGATGACCATTGAGACAGGTCCTTTTAAAGTACTAAGGCTGAGGCCCATATTAAGACCTTTCTGGAGTAACTCCACCACTTTGTGCACTTGAGGGTCTACTGAGCAGCCACAAACAGTTAACATTGCTACCAAACTCTGTCATAAGTCTTATAGTGCTGTTTTTTCCTAGACTTTGGAAGTGTGTCCACAACCTTGACTGATCAGCATAACCCCAGCAGCTTCTATGTTTCAATACAGGCTTTCAGTAAAACCTTTCAATAGGGCATTAAGGCAGAGTTTAGGAGTTTTGAAGGTGTTGGTAAGGTTAGAGAACTCCTGATGCTCTGCTGTAGTATCCTGAACCTGTCACTTAAACTGGGGTTTCTTCTCATCAGGCACCTGTCCTGGGGTGTTTATCCTGACTTCCCGCCTGTAGCTTTGGTAATTGGCACCTTTAGCTTTTTGCAAAATTATGAATGACCTTGAGAAGGAATTTTACACCAGCCATGCTTAGTGGCCAGATCCACCAGCCATAGTTTAACCAGAAGGCTCTTGTCACTATTACAGACCATAGCATCACCCTTGCTAGGAGTATATTGAAGTTGACTGATACTTTCACCATAAAAGCTGAAAAGCATAAAAACTAAAATAATATGTTTGGAGTTCCACTTTAATATTTTGATTAGTATTACTGAAAACATGTTTTTTTGTAAGAATTCCTCTGCTCCTATTATGCTTATTCCTATACAGGCTTTAATAGGACTTCAAAGGGGACACATTTGGGGATATCTACTCAGGGAATAGAGGCTGTTTACTTATTCACAAAGTGAATGCTAACTGACCTTAAGCCAACCATACACCAGTAGAATTTTGTTTGAACGCTCCTACAGAAAATGGTTTATTAAAGGACTGCATATTGCCATCACTGAGTCAACTAATTCAGTTCAAAAGCCCTTAAAATTTCATGCAGACCTGCTACTTGGATGGAATCTTAGATGTAGTAAACTGATTTCTTTTGTGCCTACAACATGCTCAATACGATATGTATGATTATTAACAAACAAAATCACATTCACAAAATTACATTCAGTCAAGAAAAAGTTTCCAACCTGCTCCTTGAATTTTCTCATCAATACAGTAAAAAAATGATTGATGATTCACTCCACTAACCACTAAAATATTTAACAAACATTCTGACCATGAGAATTTACCAAAATTTTACTAATGTATGGCCAGGTATTAGCAAATAAGGTTAAGCTCTAGCAAGAATCCTGTTTTTATTTTTACAATCACACATTATTGTATTAAAAGTTATTCACCTTAT